CCTGAAGGGTGGTGAGGGTCCGTACCTTCCTGGGGAGGTCGTTCCAGAGGGCCGGAGCAGCCACAGAGAAGGCCCTCCTCCGGGTAGTCGACAAACGGCATTGGCCGGCGGATGGAATTCGGAGGAGGTCTAGTCTGTGGGATCTAATAGGTCTTTGGGAGGTAATCTCAGAGGGTGGAGGACGCCTTGGGAGGACCAATTCAGGTAGGCCTGTCTCCCCAGTGTCTTCCCATTCGAGGCACCTCATATGCCACTTAATGATCTGCATGCTCATTTAATGAATGCGTTGTGGTCAGCAGGGATGGAGAGTTTATTTAATGGTCCTCCCAATTATTGGGCTCCATTACAGTCATTACTCAAGGACTACCTGCATTCCCATGAAAAGAAAGGTTGGAGAAAGAAGTTATTAAAATTTTATGGATGCAGAGAAAGTTTCTTCAAGAGGGAACAGAACTATCTATTTTTAAACTATTTTATCCTTCAGAAAAGCAGTGACAATTTTATTGATCCAAAAAGTCATAATGTGCCTGGCTCCTGAATGTGTCTGGCTCCGGAAAGGACGTGGGTTCATGACAAGTTGTAGAGCTTATTCTACAGAAAATCATGTCCATTTCCTCGGTCAAAATAACTTCAAAAATCTTGCTTATGCATGGTTTCTAGCTGGTTGGCAGTCTTTCCAGGATAAATGAAAAATGCTTTAGCCACCAAGCTACCCATATAATTTATACAATGGTCACTAAAATGTTTAACAATAGAGAAAGATTGGAGATAGGTAAATTACATATTATTCTTTTGCTCCACTGACATTCCCAACCATCTATAACTGGGATAGTGAACCATAGATGGCATGCGGAGCCATTTGTCAGAGGATGCAAGGCGTTGCCCTGTTAGCTGGCCAACTGAGTTCAGACGTTTGGCTGAGTAAAGCCATTTTTCGCCCTCCATAGGCTCCAGAGGCTTTATAGGAGCCTGGGGAGGGCAAAAAGAGCCTCCCCCCCCTGGGGCGTCAGGAGCTTCCCTGAAGCCTATGGAGCGCAAAAAATCAGCTCTATGGGCAAATGAATCCAGTTTGCTCATAGGGTCGTTTTAAGCCCTCCGGAGGCTTCAGGGACCTTCTGACGCTGAAGGGCAAAAAACGACCCTATGAGCAAACCAGAAGTCACTTCCGGTTTGCTCATAGGGTCGTTTTAAGCCCTCCGGAGGCTTCAGGGACCTTCTGACGCTGAAGGGCAAAAAACGACCCTATGAGCAAACCAGAAGTCACTTCCGGTTTGCTCATAGGGTCGTTTTAAGCCCTCCAGAGGGTTAGGGACCGTCAGGAGGCTTCCCTGAAGCCTCCGAAGGACTAAAAATGACTTTGCTCGTAGGACCGGTTTAAGCCCTCTGGAGGCTGCAGGGAAGCCTCCTGAAAATCCCTGAAGCCTCCTGAGGGCCTGGGGGGGGGCTGTTTTCACCCTCCCCAGGCTCCTATAAAGCTTTTGGAGCCTGGGGTGGGCTAAAAAAGCATGCAAAAAATGGGGGGGAGGACCTCTCATGTGCGCATGCACACTGGGGGGGTCGCATGTTGCATTATGAGTGCCACACGCCCACGCATGACCCCCATGTGCTCTCCCCCCCCCCTTATAGCACGCGAGCAAAAAAAGGTTTGCCATCGCTGATCTGTAGCATGGGTGTTAAACGTGCCACATCACATTGCCTTGATGTTACATTTCGCAACATTTATCCCCATTTGCAGAGCTGAGTTGGGCATGGCCTGCACATGATGCATCCGGATCACAGGCCGCCAGTTTGACCTCTGATCTATAAAGTGTGCTATAACTACATCCAGGTCTTAAATGAAGAAAAATCCTGAACTTTTAAGTTTAGCTTTTTTAATAACATAGAACCAAGCAATTTGGTTTTTTTTTTATTTTTTACTTTAAGGCAGGTACTTCCCTAATCATGCTGCCACCTTCCATATTTCAATTATTTTCAACCTGCCTCAAATTCCTTGTTTCCCTCATCAGAGATCTTAAAATAGCAATTGATATCAGTTCAAGCTCAATTCTAATGCAGTATCAACTTTATTTTCTTTACATATTTTCAGACATCTGTTTATCCAATTTCATAATAGAAAAATTAGAATTTTCTACACATTCATTCTGCCCCAATTTAGCTTTGTAACATTCAATACTGAATTTGTTCGGACAGAATAGATGTTTTTATTTAGATACATTATAAATATAAGTTGCTCATTTTTAAAACTTTTACTCAAAATACAAACTGCTTTTGTTTCTTCAGCATAAAGGAAATACCTACATTCTTTTCCTGAGTATGTATAGTTATTTAGGTTGTTAAATGTCACTGTGGAAGTCTTACTTATTCACAAAACAGCTGACCAAGTATTGATTTAGGAAAAAAAGGAGAGGATGAAGAAAAGGGGAGACAAAAAAGAAACAAAACAAACAAACAGACAGAAATGGCAAGAGATATTGGACTGCACTACTACTGGAAGGATACANGTTTTCTTGTGGAGAATAACTGGTCCCTAGAAAACAATGATTTATGTTATTTCCCAATTATTTAAATTCAATATTTTACATTTTAATTTACCTTGGTGCAGAACCATCATCTCTTTCATACACACACAGATACACATATACATACATGCATACACACATTTTGTTCTGTACCAATGCCACTGCAAAAAATGTCTTCTAATATTTTCAAAAGAAAAAAGAGTTTTGGAATTGAAATATAAACAATAAAATATTATGTATGTAAAAATCATTAACTTCCCAGAAAAATATTCAATCAGAATTTAAAATTGCCACAACCAAATTTAAACAAGCATTCTAAAAGAGTACTTGAAAAATATGCTAAAGTACCAATATAAAAACTATGAAATTCACAACGAAAGATTCTACCATCCTACAATTTATCCATATACTCATCCATCCATTCTTGCTAACAATACCTCGAACAGCCCTCAACAGGCAGTCCAGGAAGGTACCATGTTCAATGGTATTAGTAACTGAAGAGAGGATAAATTAAGATTAGGAGGAGACTATTCCACCCATGCCAAGTTCGGAGGACAGTAATCCACTAGAGTGACCAATGCTATTTCATTCTATGTGGTTTTAATTTAAAACTTGACTGGTAGTGATATAGATAATCTGTATGTTCTGGCAGTCTCTGAAATTGAATCACAATCCCTTTCTCATCAATGCAGATTTACAACAATTGGTCGCTTAATGAATGATTGAGATTAGAACAGATACTCAAAAAGTACTTACAATCCAGTCCTGAAGTTACCGTATTTTTGGACTATAAGATGCTGCGGGCTATAAGGCACACATTAGCTTTAGAAGAGGAAAACAAGAAGAAAAAAAATCTGCCTCTGTCTCCGCAGCCCATTTGCCACAGCTGCGGCCCGTTTGTCGCCATTAGCCGCGAATGGGCACCACCAG